CCTATGTTTAGCGACTTTTCAGACCCCTCTAGCGCTGTTATTTCAAAGTAACCCCGCCTTCTGCTCTCCTCTATCTTATCTGCTGTCTTGATTCATGCAGCTATTATTTCATCCAAATGAAAAATGGAGAACAGATAAGCAGATCATGACTTGTCTACAGTGAAAAGAAGGACTGGGTTATTTACTTTTGACTTTGCCTTTTAGGAAACATAGGAAGGAGCAATCAGCTAAGTGAGCTTAGTGATGGGAAAAAAATCTTTCATTCCTTCAATCCAAACAATATTTGGATTCAACACTGCATGCGGAGGTGCACTGGTGTGTGAACATAGCCTTTCAACACCACTCATGTGCTTCTAATAAAGGTGTATCCGAATTGTTTCAGGCAATCTTTCCAGATTCAGAAATAGCCAAATCTTTCACCTGTGGAAAATAAATCTGGCACACTTATGGCTGCAATGCTAAGAAAATCTAATACTCCAACTGAGACTCATGCATTATTTGTCTTTTCTAAAAAAGAAATATATCCTTTGTACCATATGTACCATGTTTGGTAGCGTTTTCCATACATAGTCATTTTTGTAGCATGTGTTTTAGTATCTGTTTTCAAATATTTCGAGCCAAGTTCCATTTCACTTTCAGTGCTATGACTTAACATCTTCTCAAGGCCCTTTAGAATACATAGATATTTTTAGAGTCTCTCTCTATCATCATGGTTACTTGTTTATGGCATTGTAATAATTTCAAAGAGCATTAAAAAGCATTTAATTAGAGTTACTAATTTCTGTATAAACCCTGATTATGTTGGCCTTCAAAATCAGAAGTATCTTGAAATTCTGTTATAATGTAGAAGATGTAAAGCAAAACACATCTAGACAATTTGAAATAAAAATGACAGATAAATATAAACATATTTAGTGAGATTGCTATTTCATTTCCTCTTTTTTGGAAAATTGTTGAAAAACGGGCCAGGCTAGAGATTAAAACATTTTTTTTTTTAGTTTGAGAATAAATATTGTAATGTTACGAGAATGAAGTCATCATACCACAACCCGTTTCAGAAAGAAAGCTTGGAGCTCCGACCAGCATGTGACGGCCGACCAGCTCCACCAATCAGCAACCTGAGTCCACTTTGACATTCTGCCCAATTAACCCCACACTGCTCCCCGGGCGTCGCACAAAGGCAGCCCACTGCTCCCCAAAGGGATGGGTTAAATGCAGAGATAAATTTCTCCAATGTGAGATCAATAAAGTTCAGAATTTGATGCTGGTGCTAAAAGATTTCCTTAGTTGTCAAACCAGAGCCAAAGTATACACTGGAAAAACGATCTTGAAATAAGTAAACATTTCTTAAATTAAGCGTATTTGCCATTAATTTCAGTAGGTAAATGAGATAGTTTGCCAATGGAATGAGTATTTTTACTCTTAAAATAATATATTTAGATCATATGCACTTTAAATAATACAATGCAATTATGTTTTTTTTTTATTTTAGTGTAAATTGTCCTGTTCCATTTGCAAAATGTCTCTTTTGCTTCCTCAATCCAAGAACAAATGCACTTATTTTAAGAAAAAATGACTTATCTAGATTTTGATTTTTTCCAGTGTAACTTCACATGATGCTCCACATTCCTCATTTTGGGGAAGACGGTGCTTCTTGTAAGAGTTGTCATAAAATACAACTTTATTATCATAATATTTGGACTTTATTCTCCTAATGATTCAATTTTCTCGTAATTTTATGACTTTATTCTCGTAGTATTACGACTTTATTCTCATAATTTTATAACTTTATTCTCATAATGTTATGATTTTATTCTCATAATTTTATTATTCTATTCCCGTAGTGTGATTGATTTAACTGTAATTTTTTTTATAAATCATCCTGTCCTTAAACCTGGAACGACGTTCCAGTATCTGGAAAGCCTCACAAACTCACTAACCTGTCTCTACTCACGCCCCTGTTCTAAATATGGTGGATCATCTTATTTCTGAGGAAAAAAGATTAGTCTAGAGTTGACTGGCTGCTGCATTTGATAGCGGGGAATTTCCTAGACCTCCACAGGATAAATGCTCAGTGCTTCTCAGTAAGAGCCTGGCAGGATAGACACAGTACAATTCCTACAAAGTGGCCCTTGTCAGCTTTGATTTATGAGTTTCATTTCAGGGAAAATTAATTTAGCCTCATCAGACTGCAGCCTGTTCTGATGCTACCGTCCATAGTAGCACTTCTGGGGAACATCTATCATTCTGACTTGCCCACAGCCAAAGCCAGCACACAAAGCAGCAGCTCCCTACTAAAAAACCTTTTTACTGGAAAAGTTGCACACGTTATATTAAAGCATTCTACTGTTTAAGCTAATTTGACAACATTAGAACTGATTTCCTTTCCTTCTGAGATATTGTTGTCTCCTTACATACTGAGGTGGAAAAGTGATAAATTAGTTTAGCCTGTTAAAATGGCATCCTTTGTGTCTAAATCGATTATAAGCAGCGTTTCATTCTATTTTATCAGTGCAGAGGTCAGCGTTAATCTATTGTTTCCTCACATCTAAGGAAATATTCTGCTTGTAATTCAGCAGTAAGTTAGTTTAGATGAACCAGTATACGTAGCAGTCAGAAAATCAGTCCCAGTAATTCAGGAAGCTAGTTTTCAGCAGTAAAAACCTTGAGCTGTAATTTTTCGAGGAAAACACTCAAATATTCTGATCATCCCGTCTGCAGAGGCTCAGAGGAAAACTGAGAATTTAATTTCAGCGTAAAGGAAAATTATTCTTGTTTCGTAAATGGATGATTACTGCATCTGAAAGGAGGTCATCTGATCTGCCCATCTGGACTCCTTGGTCCTGTTTAGTTTTCACTTTGGGTTTTCAGTTACGCTTGAATTTATGTTATTCTGTCTTGTTTTTAGGATTTATATCATTTTTAAATTTTTTTGTTTTGTTCCTCCATTTTAGTTTTTTCAGTTATCTCTTTTGTGTTTTTGGTATTTATTTATTTATCGTCTAGTTTGTTATATTTGTTGTTTCTGTAATCTATAGATTATGTTCCTCCATGGCAAATTAGTTTTCTACTTTACCAAGTCTGTTTCCCATAGTTTACTTTTCCCTTGGTCATTGTTTTATTTTTCCTTTTGTCATATTGGTTCCCAGCTCTATTGTTTTTCCCAGTTACTCTCCGTTGCCCCCTTGTGTCACTTTCCTTCCCTTTAGTTTTCTTCTAGGTCTTTCTCTGCGCACCTGTTTGCACATCCTATCATTGAAATGGATGAAACGGATGAACCCCTTTGGAGTGGGAGTCGTTTTGCTCCTTTTATTAGCCTGCAATGGCCAACAATTCCCTTTACGATCCACTTTCAGAGACATAGACAGCTATAGGGCAATGGAGGCTAACCAAAAAACCCAAACGACCCCCTATACCAAAGGGGTGGACCCATTCGTCCGTTTCAATTTGCATGTTTTCTAAGCAAAAGCTACTGTAACTCTACTGCAACTCAACACTATTTCTGACATTCAAATTGAAAAGGTTTCCTGGATGGGAAGTGAAACGTCTTTAAACCTGGAAGTAAAGTCCATGGATTGTTTTTTTTGTGTGACTTTTTTGAAACAAACCTTGTTTGTATGTCTTAAATGTGCGTAGCAATCTTGGTAGACCACAAACAAAGGGCAAAACCTATTGTATGTGCAAAAAAAAAAATTGTATATGCAATTTAGTGCCTCTTATTTGAAGGGTTTGATCAGGCTCTAAGTCTATTACAGAGAGCAAGAAGATGTTGTGGCTTTAATATTTACTAGTTCCCACAGATCCCAAACATCACTGTCTGTCATACCACAGGGAGACTGTGAGGACCATGCCACTCTGCTCTGCAGCCTTCTGCTGGGCTTTGGGCTGGATGCATATGTCTGTGTGGGTACCAAGGCCAAGAGTGGTCCACATGCCTGGGTCCTGACACGCGGTACTGATGGAAGCATCACTTTCTGGGAGAGCCTGACAGCACACAGGTTGGACTGAAATTGAATCTCTTTATAAATGTAACAGTTGCACCTTTTTGATCTGCTCACCCTTTGTCCAAAATTAAAACACGTTCAGGAAATCTTTTATTGTTCTTAATATAAAGCTGATATAAATATGAATCCATGCATGGATGGATGGCTGGATATATTTTATTAAGATTCCTTGAAACAGCCATCATAGAGCTGACATAAGCAGACACAAGCCGTTTACTCTCGTAGCCTCATCTGTGCTTCTTTAACACAGGTCTAAATGCATTATTGCCACCTTTACTCTCTAAGGCTGGCTCTTTTATAACTGCACTATAAGTGAGCCGCATACAGTGAGGCAGCAAATTAGATGTTGGAAATTGGCCTGTTTTCCAGTGTAGTCCTGTTTCTCTGACTGTGACTGGCTGGATGTGCTCTCTTCATCCTCTGACATGGGAGTTGGCTCAGAGCTCGTCTGCCTGGCTGTGTTTCCTTGACGGGGCCGCATGTGGAGCTGATCTATAGTTGCCTTTTGTATTTCTGCTTCTTTCTTTATGACTGCTTCTGTCTCCTTGAACCCCAGTCGGCCTCAGCAGATGGCCGCTCACACTGAGCCTGGTTCTGTTGGAGGTTTCTTCCTGTTCAAAGGGAGTTTTTCCTCTCCACTGTAGCTACAAGCATGCTTAGTGTGAGGGATTGCCTCTGAGTCAATAAGTCGATGCAATCAGTTGGTTTTCCTTAGATAGAAAATTTTGAATCAATTTCACTGTGTGATCTGGTGAACTGTAAAGTGCCTTGAGATGACGTGTGTCATGGATTGGTGCTAAAGAAATAAACTGAATTGAATTATCAAAGTTCAGTTTTCCTTCATCAAACATTATCCATATTTCTGAGCTACTGAACAAGAAATTAGCAGGGAAATTTGTAACCAAGTGGTGGTAAATTTAAATCCTTTTTTTTTTTTTTTTTAATGATTTGACTTCTGTATTTGTAATCAGATATCTGCACCGACCAATTGATCCAGACGCTCCCCCTCTGGCCCCCCAACCCAAATCCTCGGCCCCTTATCGTACCGTGGGCTGCGTCTTCAACCACCAGACCTTCCTGGCTAACTGCCAGCCTTCTGATGCTGTGGAGCTTTGTGTCTTTGACTTCCAGGTAGGATCATTGGCTGCTCAAACCTGGTGGATACGGCAGCTACATTTATGTCCACCACAATCTGTAACAGTCCATGAACTTACAGCTTGTTTCAAGCTAAAATAAGATTGGGTCTGTGAGGATATTTTCAAAGTGCTTTTCCTTTAGAATCCGTCACGCTGGAAGGCGATGAGTGAAGAAGCTCTGAAGTCTGTCTGTGCTCCAGGATCCACCACATCTTTACCTCCTCTGCCTCCTCTCTGCGCTCCGTCTCTGGATCCTGCTGTGGCCAGCAACCATCTGGAGTTGGAGATGCGCTTCCTGGTGTCAGAGCATAGGAAGGTAAAACTCAGTAGCGGACAGAGTGTGGTTTAGCAGTAGATTTACCAGTTTACCACAGGGCCTGAAATTCATGGCAGGGTAGTGGGAATAGCGCAATATATGCTCCAACCCCACAAGTCCAGTTTTTATAATGCGGGAAAGTCCCTCTTTAAAAAGATCACAGCAATGTGAAATAAACTGAATTGAATGTCTTTTCTGTCTAAATCTGCTACACTTCCTGCCCAGTTTGTAATAAATTAATGGAAAAATAAATAAAAAAGAGAGAATGCAGGCTGTAGAGCTGTATGGCTCAGGAAACTGGATGTAATCCCTCTAAGTATCATATGACCAATTAATGGTTGAATAACTTTCAGTTTTTTTGGTTCATGGTCTCCAGGATCTTGATCTGACCACAGTGTGGGACGACCACCTCTCCTACCTGCTGTCCTCGGCACTGTCGGCTTATGAAATGGAGCGCTGCACCGGCGTCTCCTGTGGCAACGAAGAGTTCCAGGACGCAGTAAGGAGGGCCGTGCCGGATGGACACACCTTCAAAGGGTTCCCCATTCACTTCCTGCACCGCAACGCTCGCAGAGCCTTCGCCACCTGCCTCAGGTCAGATCTTGCTCTATAACAGCCTGGTCTTCTGCTCTAATCAGCTATTTCTTAGTGTTACTCCTCAAAGCAAATGTCAAAGTGTTTTGTTAAGTTCAGCGGGCTGCACAGTGGGGCAGTTTGTAGCAGTGTTGCCTTGCAGCATGTTATCCCCATGCTTATGTAGATTCTTTCCAGGTACTCTGACTTCCTCCCACAGTGTTACCCCAACATTCCACATCCTCCGTGACTCTGCTCCACTCCAGACCACCTGTCTAAGGAACTCAAAGTCAGAGAAAAAGATGGAAGCAGGGATTAAAGTATTCTGGCCCCAGGCTGGATTTCCAACTCGTAGCGGTTGCCTGTGGGTAAAAAAAAAATCACTAGAAAATAAATTGACGGTAAATACATTTTTTTAAAAAGACGATCGAAATCCCTCTTGCGTTTGTCAGCCAATGGTAGCAAAGGAGCACTCTGAAACTAACAGCATTAGCCAATCAGAAGAAGGGGCGGTTCTTAGGAAAGCGATTAGCTCCTCCTCTCGTTTCTTGCTCAAGTCACCAGATAGATTGTGGTTCAGTGCTGAAGTTCTACACGGAAAGTCACCTTGTGTCGTTTACGGATCCATTCAACGGAGAGACGTGTAAAAGTCAAAAAATAAATAAATGAAACTTTGTTTGGAGAGAAAGACAGAAGGATGGAGAGAATGGAATTGCATGGAGTGGGCCTAATGGAGTTCATGAACTCTGGGGAAGATGTCACCACCATAGATAAAGGTCTCTGATATAAATGGCGCTGGGCATTGCTGGAGCAGACAGGGCGAGATGGCGAGCCATTTAGCAGCTGGTGCAGGAAGTTAGGTGAACTAGGCGCTTGCTTCTGCATGCTGTGCTCCAGGAACGCTTAACAGGAACACTGGATATAGATGCACTTTTCGCATCTTCTGGTCGTTTTTGGTATTGGATTTTTGAAAGTCAAATTTAGTCATCAATCATTCATGCAATCTCTGATCCCATGCCCCCACATCCCTCAATATGGCATGAAAAAGGCTCGCGTTGTTTTTCTCTAATCTCTGTGGAAGGCTTCAGGTTGCAACACCTTTGATGACGTCTGGTAGCAGAACCCAACCTTCTCGCAGAAACCCAAAGTTAACCCAGCCTGACATTAACTGCTGTACTGTAACAGTAATATGACCTTCCATAAAGTCCAGGGGAAACTGAACCAAACTCTGGTGTTTGTGTATATATATTTGACTGTATAGATTCAATGAAGGCTAGAAGATTGTTTACACATGTTCACACAATTCTGTTGTTAGAACTATTGAAGTTTTTCTAATAATTCATTCTAAGCTCAAAATTAAAGTGGTGTCCATGTCTGCAGGTGAGCGCAGACTCCTGACAGTTGTTTTAATAAACTGCTCTCCTATCTTACAGGTCTCCATTCTGTGAAGAGATAGTGTGTTGCCGTGGTGACCATGTGAGGCTTGCCGTTCGTGTCCGGGTTTTTGTGTATCCTGAGAATGCCTGCGCAGTGTGGATGATGTTTGCCTGTAAATACCGCTCTGTGCTCTGACCACCTGATGTCCTACGCTGCACAAAGACCCCTGCAGGACACACGGCTCCACAAGAACACTGATCTGACCTCGGTGAACTTGAGGAAAGATTATTTTATAAATCACTAGAATATTTATGTTTGAAGACATTTTTTTTATTTTTGCAAATAAACTGAAATTTTAACAACTGCACACTTTTTTATGGATATTATTGGAGCACATTGGTCTTGCTTTTATGCTTCAAGTTGCAGTGGTATATATATATATATTTATATATTTTATTTTTGATAACTTCAGCTGATAAGTTTTCGCATTCCAGCTTAGGATACACACAAAGCAATGTTTTTAATTCCTAACTAGAAAAGCACTGAGAACGCCAACCTCAACCAAGCTGAACATTCTTTCCCAAATTGTGGCTCACATCTATAGCTGATCTGCATCATTACTAAATTAAATTAATAGTTCCTTGCCTTGAGGTGCACCGTGGGTAAAAATGTCCATAAAATCTGTTCATAAGTTTTTTATGATCCTAAAAAAAACCACAGATGTTTCCTCTGTTTTTTTTGTTTTGTTTTTGTCTTCAGTGAAATACCTCCAAACTTTTTGAGTCCCATGCTGAGGCTGTGGTAGTGATGGGCTCAGCACCACCGATGCATCGTTGCATGCATGTTGCCCACAGAGCAAAAAACAGTATTGGTGCGTGTGCCGTTTCAAGAAAGTCATGTGACCGATACAGGAGTTGTTTCTAACTGACTGACTCACTAAACTGTGTTTAAAAATGTTTCTGTCATCATGATGCATCTGCTAAAAAAATGTCTCATCTTTTGCGGTTTATAATTAAAATTATCAAGAATTTTGGAGCAGCCTAAAAGGAA